TCAGAATACAAGGCCAAAATTTGCTGAAAAACTAAAGATTTAAGGGCAACGAACATACTTTTGGAAGGACCTGAAACTGAGAAGGACAAGTCAAAGCTTTTGATAATAAAAAAGCAACAATATCTTTCATCAGACTCAAATGATCCAGGGTAAAGTATACTTAAACATATCTATGCATAAACACTCTTTAACAACGAGATCCAAACATAGAAGATATTATTACTATCATTATTAATATCATTATTATTACCACCACCATTACTACTATTATTGTTGCCCTTTTATTATTATTATTTTTAACATTATTTTCATCATGACTACTTTTATTATTATTTCTATTATTATTTTTATTGTTATAACACCAGCGTTGCATTATTATCGTGTTGTATTATTCTTATTCTCTTGCACATAATTCTGTGCTACCTTTGCCACAGAAATGTGTGCAAGAAGGTAGTTCTGTGATATTTTTACTGCTTTTGTGTCTGAGTGAATTGCGTTTTATTTTTTTTAGTAAATGAAAACATGTAGGCATTTTAAAAAAAGTATCAGTTCTAAAAAAAATGAGCCTTTTAGTACCTTTGATGAGTGGAAACCAAAAAGTGAATGCGCCAACTGGAGGTCCGCCATCGACAATATTATAAACCTTTCCACGTGCTCTACCTTGTCTCAAAGCTTCTTCAGCCAGCCTCATGGCCTAGAAATACATGATTTATCATCCATGGATTCCTGTGTTGTCCAGTTTTCTTATTTTTGTTATAGCGATCTCATTGGTAGATAATGATATCAGAAAAGCGAAAGATTGAGCACAAACAAAAAATTTTTTTCTTTGAAACAGCTTACGAATCAAGAGCTGAAATGAAAGGATCTTCCCTTAATATATTAAGGCAATAATAAAAATTTTTCTGCTCACTGATATTTACAAACAAATCACTACAATATCTGCACTCCAGGTATTTATTGACGGAAGAACGGGACCACCCAGACAATCAGCGTGAAAATCCTAAATCGACTGGTACGACGAGAGTGCTCCTACACGTCGGGTACAGCGATGCAGGCGCTTCGCTTCTGAGTTCCATGTTTTTTTTATCTGAGTTGTTTATCGCTATCAGTTTTTATGAATCGAGAGAGCGGCTATTTATACCGAACGAAAACACAAAAACAATATTGGCACAAAAGAATATGCGAATTAAAGAGAATGATAAAGGCCTAAAACAGGAACATATATGGAGAATTTTCCAGCCGTGCCAGCAGTAAGGAAAATCGCAACGATGAAACAACAG